ACCAACCACTAAACCCAGTCAAATACAATAATAAACATTTATTTTTGCCCACAAGTCTATGGGTCAGCTGGGCAGTTCTGCGTTGGACATAGTGGATCTCAGCTAGGTTCACTCATGTGTGCAGTGAGCTACGAGCTAGTTGGCTTGGCCCACACAGCTATCCTCCATCTGTGCCTTGTTCCCTAGCAGGCTAGGCATGTAGTAGTGGCAGAGAGAGACAGAAAAACATACCAGGCCTCTTGAGTCATTGGCTTGGAACTAGCAACAGTCACTTCCACCACATCCTGTTGGCTGAAGCAAATCACAAGGCCAACCCAGATTCCAAGGGTAGGAAAACAAATTCCAGTTCTTAAATGGAGGAGCTGCAAAGTCACTTTACAAGAAGGTGAGGATACAGACAGAGATGAAAAATGGGCCATTTTACAGTCAATCTATTACACTGGGATGAACTTAATAAGGAAAAGTATTATATTTCTAAACTTCTGTTTTGTAATTGTTGAGGCAATGCTCTCTGGTTGTAGAAGTATCAACTTTCTAGCTTTGCAGTCATAACTTGTTGCACACGTTTTGTCTTTGTTTTCTGCAGGGTATTCTCAGCTGTTGTCTTTGGTGCCATGGCAGTGGGGCAGGTCAGTTCATTTGCTCCTGACTATGCCAAAGCCAAAGTGTCAGCAGCCCACATCATCATGATCATTGAAAGAACCCCTGTGATTGACAGCTATAGCACCGAAGGCCTACAGCCAGTGAGTTTGATGCTTTGGTTGTATAATCTGCTCCTAACTGACCAATGAAATTTTTCTAAGAGAAAATTTAATAAAATCTGTGCTTTTTTATTTGCTGGTAATAAAATGAAACTTTCTAGATCATTGGTTCATTTTAGTAAGTGCTAATAATATATGTTAATATCCAGTATTTCTGTATAACAAAGCAACAGGGGGATAGAAATATTGCCAATTTATAAGCAAATCCTGTTAAAAGGCTTTTATTATATGTAGGTTACTCTGTTCTTGGGGAACAGATTTGAGTTATATTTGTATTGTATTAACAATGCATACTATGAAAACACTGATCCTTTTGCATCTTATTGATTACATTCTAGCAGTTACAAATGAATCCTAATTGTTACACAAGTTCACTACCTTCTGACACCTGGTGGTAGAGGGGGTTGACTATGCAATGAGTTTTCAGACTGACAGCAAATTTACTGTTATTGTTCTCACTTTAGAATACACTGGAAGGAAATGTGACCTTTAATGAAGTCGTGTTCAACTATCCCATTCGACCAGATGTCCCAGTGCTTCAGGGGCTGAGTCTCGAGGTGAAGAAGGGCCAGACGCTTGCCCTGGTCGGCAGCAGCGGCTGTGGGAAGAGCACAGTGGTCCAGCTCCTTGAGAGATTCTATGACCCCTTGGCTGGAACAGTGGTGAGCACACTTTCTCATTGAGCTCATTTCAGGTTTTTCATCATCTTAATACCTGCGTCTATTTAATTCTTGTCTATAGACCATGGTTTTTCAAACCTTTAAACAACACTCCCACTTAAAGGCTGACATCCTAGATAGGGTCTCCACTCTGTGTGCTGATCTTCTCCAGGCTCTCTCTCAACACTGCCCCTCTACCCTCTTTTGCAAGCAGCCTTTTTACCACCCATCTCCCTTCCCTTGGTTAGGTTTCAGCTTGCATGAGAAGATCCACGAAAAAGTGAAGTAGCCAGAAAGATAGAGGAGAGGTGCTAAGAGAGACAAATAATATGGGAGCCGAGGATGGGGAGGGTTTCAACAAGGAGAAGGTAATCAGCAATGACAGGTGCTAGGGACAGATAGGGTAGGATGAAGACTGAAAAGACATGATAGGATTTAGCAAATAATGGGCTAATTCTGAGATTTAAAGAATTCTCAGTGAAGTGGTGGTGGTAGAACAGTTTAGCATGGCTAGGGTATGGTGAGGGGGGGAAATGGAGCTGAGTGTAAACTATCGGGAAGATCAAAGGTGAAAGAAAGGCAAATAACAGCCACTTGAATGGGGAGGCAGAATCCAGGGAAATTGTTTAGGAGGTGGAATTTTGAGCAGGTTTATAGCTGAGGATGAGATAAAACCATTGGTGGAGAGAGGGCATTGAAACACCTTTTAAGGAGAAAACAGCAAAGTGAGATCAGCCAATTTGGGCATCACACAAAGAATACAGAGAGATTCCGTTTTGTTTTCTGCAGTAAGAGATTAAGTGAAGGGTCAGATTTATTCATTCAACATTTAAGAAGACCTTTACTGAGTGCCTGTCAGGGACTGTCTCAGGTACTGAGGATGAGATAGGAGTCTTGAAGGGAGTAGTGAAATTTTAAATGATTATAATGGAGAGTAGGAACAGAATCAAATTGGAAGGAACAGAATTTACAGCAAGAAATTTTCATTATGTACGCATTTACTTACTGGTTGTATTCAGAAGTGATATTAAAAATATGACACAACTGGAATAGCATGGGCACCGATCAACCAGAATGGATAGCTGTTCCATGTAGTCATAATGATGCCCAGCTCCATATGGGCCCTTCTTGCACAGATGACTGATGTGAAAATAGAACTTTTTCAGCCTGTAGTCCAGGGCTCTTTTTACTTCCCCACAGCAATCATGGTTATTCATCAATATTTTTTATTGTATTCAAATATACTTGTGCCTTTACTCAGTCCATTCTTCCATAGCTACATAAGCTTTGATCCTGGTGTTTACTACCTTGTTTTATATTTTGTGTGAATTCTGATTTGCTGCTTCAATTTTGTGGTTAAACTTTGAACAGAGGACTCTAAATGAAGACCTCGCTGACAAATGTAGCAATTAGAGGAGGAGATGTTAGCTCTCAGACACTGATTATAGTCTTGAACAGACATGTATTAAGCAACGTGTTAAATGTTGAGCTCTAATGAGTTACAGGGTATGGTGTCCGCCCTGCAAGACTTTAACTGAAGAGATGGGGCAGATACTTCCATGAGTGACATTAAAGAAGAAAGGCCTAGAGCTGGCTGCATGAGGGGGACAGTCAAGAACGTCATTTGATGCCAGAGATGTGCGCTGTGGTTGATACGTGATTTGTCCCCAATGTCCCTATAGGCGAGTTTGGCTGAAATAGGAGATTTAATTAGAGCTGTGGTTCTCAAATTTTTTTGATTATTAACCACTTAGGAATGACAAAAACTCTCCTGGCCA